CATTTGCTAACCTGTTCGGCCACACTCGATCGTTCGGGAGCCATGTGCATAAGGTTTTGGATGCTTCTTATTTGAACGTAGGAACCCACGCTCTTCTCAGGAGCCCTATCTGTTAACCTGCTTGGGCTTACTAGATCATTCGGGGGCCCTTCACACTGTGTCGTGGGTGTTCATTCCACTGGAGGGCCCTATCTTCATCTGTTGAGGCCCCCATTTGTTCATCTGTTCAGGCACAATCGATGATTCCGGGCCGCCATCCTGTGTACATCTGATTTGAATAGATGATCCTACGTTCTTGTCGAGGCGCCATTTACGAAGCTGCCTGGACTAGTGTCAGATCCAGGGGTGGGGGGGGGGGGGGGGGGGGCACGGGACTATGCCCCGTGTGTGCCCCAAGGGAACCCGTAGGGTCCGAAGGGCCCCATAACAAACTGAACGGAAGCAATTTTCTGAGACAAAACACGAGAAAACTGGACGTCATTGGGTCTCCAGACGACCAAAAATAATTACAAACGAAGGTGGTCCGGGGCGTCCCACAAATTTTTTCCATTCGCATGAAGGTTCTGTACGCTTTTGCTGGCCCCATAGGCCGACGTACACTCACATATAACGGTCTGCAAGCTGACAAAGTTAACTCGTCGATGATTGGGAGAATGGTGATTGGGGAAATTGAGGCTCATTACGCTGTCTAGAGGCGTTACGCTGCCACCGGAGCCCTATATGTCAACTTGCCGGGTCAATTCGATCGCTAGAGCCTGCCACGCTGCATTGATTACTTAGCATTTTTCCTGTTGGGGCCCTACGCTCCTGTTAGGGCACTGTCTGTTAACATGTCTGAACACGCTTGATCGATCAGGGGCCCCCGCGAATTCTGCCAATTCGCTCGACAGGCCCTATACGTTTTTGCCGGGGCCCCATATGCCTGGTGCTCTCATTTGCTCAGGGGGCCTGCATATTGTTCTCGGGTTTTTTTCCAGTTGCTCGGAAGACCTTGCGCTGTTGTTGCGGCTCATATAAGGTGAGCCATTTAATGCTCAGGGGCTCTTTACATTGATCTAGTGCTCTTTCCCTTCGATCCTGTTTACGGATGGCCCTTTACTCTCATCAGGGCCCTTTCTCCCAACCTACCTGAGCGCACTCCTGATCGCACACTGCTCAGAGAGCCCTGTGCTCTGGCCGGGGTCCCCTGGGTTCCACATGTCAGGCTGTCGGGGCGCTTCCGATCGTTTAGGGACCCACCATGTTGGCCTTGGTGCCTTAGCCTGAGAGCAGCAGTTGGATATGCGCCAATTATTTTTTATCAGGAACTTTGCATTAGTCATTAGTCATCAGCCGACCACATCGACCAGGCTGGGAATTAAGCTCGAGCTTGATTTTGTTTGTATTCAGCAGCAAACTTTAGCTTACCTGCCGTCTTTTTCCCAAAAAACTAATCCTCAAAATGACAGGATTCACCATGATCTGGAGAAAGTGAAGGAGATCTATGTATGTGCATACGCAACACACCTAGTTTTCTAGGGCTGCGCATAGCAGGATACGTTCCTGTATATGGATAGCGTACTAAGCATCCTTATTGGTTGCAATGCGATGAGGGGAACCCCAAAGTCTGGAAAAGGCACTACGCTGCGTGCCCCCCCCCCCCCCCCCCCCAGCTCCCTCCTCCTTGACGAAATCATGGATGCTCCTCACAGGGATCCTACTCCACTCCCCAGCCTCCCTACTCCTGACAGGGAGTCTGCTGGGCAGTGTTGTATTCAAGGAAATGGGCAACGAGGGCACGCGCCCCTAATCAAAATATTACATGCATCATATCCGAGCAATGTCGATCTGGGGAGGGGCGGAGGGGGCTTCCGATTGTCCAGCAAAGAACGTAGTTTTCCTGAAACAGGGCCTTTTGTTCCAGAAAATAGTCTCATGATGCATACAAGGACCTCCTTTTCCAGAACGAAACGTGTTCGGTTCGTGAAGGGGGCCCAAAGATCTAGCCAAGCGCCTCATTATCCCAGCATCCTGATCCGAAACTGCAACCATCTGATGTATGAAAGGGGTTTCCCATTCCAAAGACGGGGCCTTCTGAATGCAGAGGTTGCCTTCTAACACAGAACATGGCCTCCTGGCTTGTAGCGGGGGCCTCCCGAACAACATTTGAGTCTTCCAATCTAGACATGAAGCTGATTCATAAAGATGGCCTCAAGATCAGAAAACGGGCTTCTTGATGTTGAGAAGGGCTTCTCAGCCCGATTTACCACTCTCTAGTTTAATTTGAGGGTCTCCTTGGCCTTAGTTTCTGCATGTAGCTACAATGGATTTAGTTTGGTTAAATAGGCATCCCGATAATTGTGAGGGGCAAAAACATGCCCTTTAAAATGTGTTAAATGCATAGATTAGATGAGATAAGTGGGTTAGAACGGCTTGTGCCGGCTCACCACAAGTTAAACTTCCTTCACAAAATTTCACAATCGGATGATGGAGGAACCAGGGTTCCTACCAGCGCGGCCAAACGTGGGCTCTGATCCCATGGCACAGGCGAGAGGGGACACAGGACTCACGTGGTCCTTTAGGTCACGGGGGGTGAAGGGATCCCTGGGACCATCGGGACACCTGAGACACCTGGGATTGGAGGCCCGATCTAGCGGTCCAAGATCTACGGGTCTGTGGGGTAATATTTGTTGTGTTTTGGGCGTGAAATTCGGCAGTTTGTATTACCGACATTGTCGTGCAGTCCGGAAAGGACGTCTTACATAAATGTTTTGTGCAGAAAGAAGACCTAAGGGTCAAAATGCACCCATCTGCCGACGAGGGCAAAGTGAGGTTACTGAAATCTGAGAAACAATACAATTTTGGGCAGACCTTCCTTGGCAGTGGCTTTGAGCTTCCTTGTGAGAAAACTGGATACTCTGTAGTCCCTAGGAGAAACGACTAGCGATACAGAATCCGGATACGTTTTAAATTTTGACACCTTTAGACCAGGTTCTTAAAAATGTGCAGTAAAGCGCTGCTTTCTGTGGCTGTTTTGTAAAGTATATTTGAGACATGTTCATTCTCCCCCCTCTGTCTACTACCAATTTTCCAAACGTCTTATTCTCTCAACTATCAGTAGTTTCACGCATGATAGGTATGGATAAATAGAACGTGATCACAAGCTACACAATGAGGTACCTACTTACAAACGCATCCGGTAGCTCACACTGCAACTCCATAGGCATGCGACTTACTACGCTCTCCGCCCAATCTTCTGCTGCTACATTTCAAATCGCTCGAGGATGTGGAGCACCTGAAATAGCAGAGAGCGCACGGACGACACAGTATCCGACGGCGGCCTCATGGTGCCGGAAATAACGCATTCGACATCCAGCAAACCATGATGAGCACGTGGTGGTCGATAATCAATATAGTACGTTCAAATACCGCGTTTATTGAGCTCATTAACACGCGCTCGGGTGGGTGGTCAATTTCATCCCCCACCCCCCACCCACGAAGTTTCTCTGGGGCGGTTTCTGAACGGTGTGGCGACCACGCCAAATTTTGCAAGATGTAGACAATATAATGCAGATTGTTTGGTGTCGAAAATTTACATGTACCTTGCATGGTCGCTGACCTACGGCACGTCAAAGTGTGGCCATTGATTCAGCGAAGTCATTTTCTAGGAGTCACTCAGTCTGATGCAACAACGAAGTGTTAGATAAACTTATATATTCCTGAGATACTTTCCTAGGCGACGCAACAGTTGAGGGAACAAATTCCATTGGCCTTGGGTCAGGTATCACGGTCAGGCCAAGGTGAAAATCCTTTATTACTATAGGGCCCGCTGGAAACTTGCAGGAGTAGTTTCTGGTGCTCATCTCTAATTTATTAATGACAGGAACCGCATTATACATCTTCCATAGACTTCTCAAAGGTCCGAATAGGTAACTGACCTGAAATGACCCAGGTCAACATCTTGTTTTAGGAACACACTGCCTAGCGTAAACTTCGTCGCTTATTCAAATGCAAAACTCAAGGCAGTCTTACATGAGCTTGGTAACTGTGACCTCCAAAAGGTCGAAAAGGTTACTGGCCTTAAATGGGCATCTGACCCTTTGCCTAGAACAAGTGTCTTACTAGGGGTGCGTTGTATCTGGGGGTACTTCGGACGCCAACCTGGAGATTGACCTTGTTTGACCTTATTTCACCCAGAGGTCATGACATAGGAAGCCCAAACTTTGACCCAAGTGAGTTCACGTACACACAAACACCTTGTGGATTTGGATGTGTCTAGCTCTCTTAGCTCCTGTGATCTCAGGGAGGTCAAATTGACCCTCAACCCGAGCGAAGGGTATCCGACCGGCCACCCGAGCGCGTGTTCATGCCTGATGCACCACTGCCAAATAGCGAAAATGTCCAAAGGTTGTAAGCATAGGTCAATGGTCATATGTTTGCATGACAGAAATCAAAGGTGATCTGCAAGCTTATCGTGCATGAATATTGCAATTTTGGCCAGATGGGCCAGGTGGATGGCGGAAATAGGCGTCTTGCCGGGAACACGATTTGTGAAGGATAACGGACCGGCATGGCAGCCAGGACCATGGGCAGGACCACCATTGTAGCACGATCTTGCCAGCCGTTGGCTACACCGACATTGCCCATACATCGTCGATGCGGCATGGGCATGCCACCGATAACCGATACAACCCTAACATGAGCTTGGCCACGCATCTACCGCCCGTGTGAGGTTATTCAGGGACAGTCGGGTCCTGATCAGCACGGGGTAGACTGGTGGAACGGTGGTAACAGAGCAGTAAAATGTATGTTCAGTGAAGGCAATAACTCTCTGGAGCACGTTCGCACTTAGAAGTCTTTCCCCGGGAAGAATCATTCCGATGTTCGACGCATCGCGGCAGTGAAGGAGGCGCAATAATCTGCGTGCGCGTGCTGGCGAATGTGCTTCACAAGCAGCCGCTGAGGGATTGTGTTGATCACTGTATTGCTCTCTCAACAACTAATACATTTGTGTGCTGACACATGCGCTCTGCATCATATCATGTCACCGTTTTCCTGCATCGAGATTCCTTTACATTCAGAAACAAGAACGCAACGCACATGGAAATCTTTTTTCTACTGGACGGCGGCATGGCGTCTTGAAATCTTGGGAGCACGAATAATAGGAAATACGTGCTGACGACTCCACAGATCAGAATCTGAATCTAGCCCTGCGTGTGATATGAACTCCACACTAGCACCAAAGCATGCTGCGCTCCACAAAAAAACCTGACGTGCAGCATTTAGCTAAGACTGCAATTTCGCACGACAGCATACCTTGTGTCACTTTCCATAGAGGTGTGATGTTGGCAGCAGAACAGGGGCCACTTCTTTGTTTGGTGTGGTAACCAAACACATTTGATCGCCATGACTTTGACATTAAATGACATTCACACATAGGCCATTTTTCACCACATACTATGCTGCTTTCCGAAATGCCAAAATCGAGACAGCCACATAAGGAATCGTTAGAATAACTGGTTTTGCCCTTATCATATGAGGCTCGAGCCGTATAACTTCTGTACGAGGCCCTGTACGGCAAACCACAATAAACCATCGCACAAAACAGTCGGCACAATCGATAACAGGTTTGACTTTAAATGATCACGGCATTACAGAATGATTAACCAGTTACGTTATACCAGGTGCCATTAAAGCTTTCACGATATGTCTGATGCCCGCTCCGAAAAATGAATTACATTAATAACCCACCACTTTGTTGATGATTCTGAAATGCTTACCACGGCAGTTTTGGGGAACGGAGATGTGATGCGCTCGTTAAAGCAGAATGAATAAGTAAGCAAGCAAGCATTTATATGTAATTGTTACCAGCGTCTGAACGCGATGGTCACTGAAGTGAATAAATCATACGCATATATCTATAAATGCATGAATATTCGGAGGTCGGGACATGTCCCACCCTCCCCTGCCGACTGGAGCGTAACGAGCATAATCTAACAGGGCATGGAGTGCTCAAGATTTGAATGATTTTACGTACAAATTATAATTCAGCCATCTCTCACATTATCTGCAACGTCATGTAAAACCATAAAGCTCAACTACGGTGCTGCACTTCTCAGATGTGGCAATGCCACGAGCACAAGTCAAGGTTGGCCAAGTCGCAAAACAACTACCGATAGCCTTCCTACGTTACACGGTATAAACACAGCTTTCGACGCATATTTTACACCTTTACGCATCACATAACGGCCAGACCATTCGACATCTCATTTCGCCGCCTTCATAAACACGGCGCGCCGCATCGTCGAACAGAGGGCAGCACAGGCTGCCGCGCCACGGACACACAGAGGGCAGCACGAGCTGCTGCGCCACGGACACACACAGGGCAACAGCAGGCAGCATCGCCGCTGGTGCAGGGCCGGCCCCAGAAGCCGAGGAAGCCGATGTGTGCCGAGACGGACCGCTGCGTCTCAGAGGTCGGGGAAGCCGATGTGTGCCGATACGGACCGCTGCGTCTCAGAGGTCGAGGCAGTCGATGTATGCCGACACGGACCGCTGCGTCTCAGAGACCGAGGAAGTCGACGTGTACCGACACGGACCGCTGCGTCTCAGAGACCGAGGAAGTCGATGTGTGCCGACACGGACCTCTGCGTCTCAGAGACCGAGGAAGTCGATGTGTGCCGACACGGACCGCTGGGTGAGCACGTCCACTGCCGAGGCCACGATCTCCGTGTCGCCGAAACGCATCCGGACCTGCGGCGGCCGACAAAAACGTTCGTCTAAGCGCATTGGCCGACTGAGGCACGTGACGGAGTGATCACAGAATAAAGTTTGTGTCGCAAGCAGCTGTACATAGTGAAAGCATTGGTTGGAGCTGCTGTCTGGAGAGCTAATTTCATAGTACAAGCTCATTCAGGTCGCTCCAAAAAACAACAGTGCAATCGTGGGTGTATCATACCGACCGAGGCAGGCAGGCAGAAATATCTGTCGGCTGGTTTGTCCTCTCCGGGGATGGGGGAGCCAGAATCTCGATCACCCATTGGATCTCGAAACTTAGATAAAAATAACACTTTCCCCCTGCTTTAAGCAAAAACTTATCACTTGTCCAGTGGTGATGTATGGTTAAGCAAGGACTCAAAGGACGTTTTGCACCCACTTGCGCCAAACAAGCCTTCTTTGAATCCGGTGCACCTGCCTCCCAAGCACGGTTGCCGGCTCTTGCACCACACGACCATCACAACTTCCCACAAATTCCAGCCACGACTCTGCGAATCGTGCGCTACACATCGCAGCGCCGTCTCTGGGTTCAGGACTGCGGGCCGGCTCGTGGAAGGATGGCTGTCACCTGGACTTCACGGCGCTTGACGGGACTCAGTGGGCTTCCATCCAAGGTCAGCTTCAGTGTGCCGCACCGCTCCACGCCCTCGTCCGTTACGAACTGAAAATGGCGGAGGCCATCAGCGGCAGCACGCTGGCGCTCGTCATCAGCCTTACGGCTGGTGTTGGTTATTACCCTCGTCGCTCACAAAAGACACAGTCCAAAGACCACGACAAACCGACAGGAGCCAATAGGTTGGTGCAGCGTCATACCACCGGTGGCCCCATCGCCGCCTCACTCCGCGTCCATCTTGTCCGAGGGGAGACATCCCTGCATCTCAAGCATCCAGCTGCATTAAGACTAGAAGCGTTTGACCTGGCCTGCATCAATGTCGTCAGCTGTTTGCGTCTTCTTCACCGCTTAGGGCGTGTTTGACCGAAGGTTCCCGCGCGATGCCCTGTCACGTGACCGCCCGCGCCATTGCAACCCACCGTGACCTTCTCCTTATGCGAGCAGTAGAGGTGGAGCACGATGGTAGTCTGGTCGACGCGCGCCGGCGTGTAGCGGCGCAGCAGGGTCTCGCCCACGCCCACCGACTGGTCGGCCGTCACGAACTTATCGAAGATGTCGGCGCACCACTCACGGTCGTCGCGCACCAGCAGCTTGCCTGCCGGGACGCCGTGCGCTGTGTACCGAGGCGCTGGTGGCCGCAGATGGTGTGCCACCTGTCCCGCCGACCGGCGGTGGCCAGCGGACAGGCCGATAGCGGACCCGAGCAACTCGCACATTGACAGCGGACGGTTTGGTAAGGACTTAGCACGCGTCTGGGTGGCCGGTGGAATACCCTTCGCTCGGGTGGGGGATCAGTTTTACCCCTGATATTTTAACAAACGAAACAAACAACAAACTAAGCGGCCTAGACGTACCACATTCACAAGGTTGGCTGGCTAGTATGTGAGCCTACGTGTGTCAAAGCTTGAGGTTCTTAGGTCATGACATTTGGGTCAAATAAGGTCACACAAGGTCAAACTCCAGGTTGGTGGCCAAATTGCTAGCAAAGTGCCGCCAGATTTCCTTATGCAAACGTCTTGAACATAGATACCTCTTCAGAATAAAAGGTCACTGATGTTCATTTAAAGTCCGTAGCCTTTTTTTACCTTTAGAAGGTCATGGTGACCAAAAGCCTACGAGATTGTTTTAATTTTTTCATTTGAATAAGCGCCAAGGATTACGCTTGGCGGCATGTTCCTAGCAACAAAATGCCGACTTGTGTCATTTTAGGTCAGTGACATGCCCTGACCTTTAAGAAGTGCACGGAAGACGTCTGGTATGTTGTGGTCCCTATTACTGATGAATTCGGAATGAGCACCGGAAACTATCTCATACACTAAGCTCTCCAGTAAAACGGCTGGTTGGTTTAGACCTTGGTCCCACCTTCATATCTGACTAGCTCGATGGGATTTGTTGTAATTCTAGCGCCATTGTTTGACGTATGAGATTGAACGATTCCCTAGAAATTGTCTCCGCCCACGGCGTTGGCCTGACTTTTACACGTCATGGGTTAGCAAACTTACAAGGTACATCCAACTTTACGAGCCAAAATATCCGCTTTTGATTGTCAGCAGCTTTGCAAAGTGGCTACACCGCGCCGTCCTGAAATTTTCTGCAACATTTTCTGTAACCGGAAATTTTCTTGTCCCCCTCCCGGCGCGTATTGAAGAAGATATACTGGAAGACAACGACATGGGCGTTGGGGATTGGTAGTGGCAATGACATGAATGAATCAAGGAGCTACACCTGAATGGGTACGCAGTCTCGTTGGAACTACACAACTCGGGATAGCCCGGCCGGTGGTAGTTCACACCGCAAGGCATTTGCTGCTGCCACTTGACGTCCCGTACCTTGTGGGTGGATGCCGCGCATGAACTTGTTGAGCACGCCTACGCCGTATGTCATGGTGGACCGTCTCACTTGGATGACGCTGCTGTCGAGGCCGAACAGAACTGCACCACGCAGGATCGCCAGACTCATCTCCTGAAATCGACGCGATGGACTCGTCTCCTGATGCCGAATATCTTACTAGTGCCCACGGGAGGAGAGCGCGGTGTGTCAGGTCGGCCAGGCGCCATTTCATTACCATAACCTTTTCTAAAAAATGTATTTTGTGTCGTATGGACCTCGTTACCCTATCTTACAAGGTCAGATTCTTTCAATGCTACTGACGCGCGTGTCACCTACAGAAGCTCAGTTCGCCTACAGAAGCTCAGTTCAGTGAGGCTCCTGTTACGAAACACGCGAGGCAATCCAAACAAACAAAGCATGAACCCTAAAAAACAACTGACGACTTCAGATGTGACGGAGGATTTCCGAGGGTGCTTGGGAAACCCAATGTTCGCTTTATTTATTTACATTAAACACCACAAAGTTTATCACATCTTCCAGGGAAAGAGACTACCCCTTCCCCCCCCCCCCATTTTCACCAATCCTGTCTTGAAAACCTGTTTTCCTCACTGAAGTATTTATTGAAATTTAGGTCAAAGCATATTATTTCCTCCCTCAACAAAAGTGTGTGATAGCACTCTATAGCCAAAATTCTGACTCGGTGCAGCTCTGCCCTCCCTCTCCCGCACACACGCACACGCACACGCACACGCACACGCACACACACACCCACACCACACACCACACACCCACACACCCACACACACACACACCACAACACACACACCACACACAAACCACCACACCCACACACCCACACACACACACACACACACACACACACACACACCACACACACACCACACACCACCACACACCACACACACACACACACACACACACACACACACCACACACCCACACACCACACACACACACACACACCACCACACACACCACACACACCCACCACACACCCACACACACACCACACACCCACACACACACCACACACACCCACCCCAACACCACACACACACACCACCACACACACACACACACCACACACACACACACACATGAAAAACGTCATCCAAAATTGTTAAAATGAGAACATTCGGCGCGATTCATTTCATGACGCTACTTTGTTTCATTCAGGGACGGCATCTTGGGCCAAACTCGAAAGAGAATTCATGAATTCACGAACCTGTGGTATCACAACCTTGATCTTCCGAGAACTCGCTTTTCATCCGCTCCTGCAGAATCTGGATTTCCGCGAAGCCTCCAACGAGGAAGAGGTAGTGGCATGTTTGAAACCATCGCAAAAAGAGCTTCCACTTGCTGCGGAAAAGAATGCAAAGCTGTGAATTTGTAACATGGTGCGCATAGGCAAAACAATCGGCCTCAGCGGAAACATGTTACCTCGTCGAAGGTCATTCGAGAACGACGGTAAAATTGAGAATTACAACAGACATAAGCACTAAAATATTTCTAACGGTAATTCATAGAAAGGCATCAGGTTTATCTCTCGGTTACCAGTTAGCTTCACTGGTTTCAGGTATGGGTTTTAGGTCGTCGCGCTTCAATGCAGGCGCTACAGTATGCTTCGGTGATTTCAGTTCACAAGTTCCCGATAGAAAAAGTCAACTTGGTTTGGCAGCATGGCAGCCAAGCCAAGTCGCTTAGTGAAATGGGAGCGGTATGGCGGCGTAATACCTCTGTTGATCTTGTTCAGGGTGGGGTACGAAGAGCTGCTGCATGAGGCTGGACTCCAGGCGGAGCATGCCATCCGGTAGTCGCACTTGGCCAGCTTTGTAGGCCCTCACCGCCTGCTCCACCTGACCACAGACACGGCATCATCTGCCACCCACCGCCAGCTTTGTAGGCCCTCACCGCCCGTTTCCACCTGACCACAGACCGGCATCATCTGCCACACCACCGCCAGCTTTGTAGGCCCTCACCGCCTGCTCCACCTGGCCACAGACACGGCATCATCTGCCACCCCCGCCAGCTTTGTAGGCCCTCACGCCGTTCCACCTGACCACAGACACGGCATCATCTGCCACATCACCGGCGGCAGGGGCAGCGCGCGGGGGTCAACGTCCGCATCGGCAGCTCACCTCAGACACCATCAGTTACTGCTGCATCGTGAAACAAGGATCACATCCCGACATTTATCGATCATATCTATGCATCCTGTAAGGATGAAAGGTATACCAATATTGGGGACGTTGGATCAATATTCTGATCACGACTGTTCTACCACAAGTCAAGCATTGCACGCGCATTTACTATGAACTGGGCAATATCTGGAACTCCAAAGTTGTTGACATGGCTTGAAGCACAGCTTACTGGAACATATGATAGCGTTTGGGCCCTAGAATCCCTTATTTCCCCTTTCGCATACTAAGCATTCTGCATACAGCTGCAAGCATCCCATTACAGCCGCTTGCTAGTGAGTCGTGCGCCCCTAGTGACCGCGTTCTCTCACCCTCTTGCCCCTGGCTTTCTTGTATTCGCTGATGAAGGCGAACGGCAGGGCCACGTTGAGCGGGGACTTCTTGCCGGGCGAGGCCGACCTCTTGCGCGCCTCGAACGCCACCATGAGTGTCGACCCAGGCGGCCGGCCGCCGACACCGGAACCCGGCCACAAACTCGGCACCGAATATATCACAGAGCAGCCGCTCAAACGTGCAATATCCACGCCTGCGGGCGCGCAGGAGTCGCTGTCTAAACTGAGTCCAAAACCGGGCACCACTGTATGTCTGTACCCGATCCGCTGGCTGAGTCGGGGCTAAGTCCGGTCACTGGGGCATTAGCGCGGACAACCGTTCGTCCACAGGAGAGTTTAAAGCCGCCAGCCACCACCTGGTTGTCCACCTCTAAGTCATGTGAGCACACGGAATGTTTCACGCATACAAACAAGGAAAGCGAGCGTCGGTTGTTCCAGAAACCCAACAGCAAGCTTCGTGTGGTTAGTATGTTTAAAGTGCGCCACGCTGAGATCACGCCTGTACCAGCACTAGAGCCGTCCTATGCAGCCTAAGCATACTGAGCTACGCCGCAGTAGGTGTGGCCACAGCTGAGGCCAAATGACCTACACAGCTGCATGACTGCCATAGCTGAGCCGGACTGACCTACCTGCCGTGATGCACTACTAGCCGAGGCCGTATGACTACCATAGCCGAGGTCGATTGACCTACACTGCCGTGTGACCAGCATAGCTGAGGCTACTGCCCTACACTGCCGTATGACTACCATAGCTAAGGCCGACTGCCCTACACTGCATATGACCAGCATAGTTGAAGCCGACTGCCCTACACTGCCGTATGACCAGCATAGCTGAGGCCACTGCCCTACACTGCCGTATGACTACCATAGCTGAGGCCAACTGACCTACATTAGTGTGTGACTACCACAGCTGAGGCCGGCTGCCCTACAGCCGTATGACTACCATAGCTGAGGCCGACTGACCTACACTGCCGTATGACTACCATAGCTGAGGCCGACTGACCTACACTGCCGTATGGCTACCATAGCTGAGGCCGACTGCTCTACACTGCCGCATGACTGCCTCAGCTGAGGCCGACTGACCTACACTGCCGTAGGGCCCCCGCTGG